TAAAAAAAAAAAAAAAAAAAAAAAAAAAAAACGATAAATGCATTTAATACGCATTAGAAATATGTAAAATTCATGTATTTTTTTTTTTAAATAAAAAAGAAGTTTTCATATGTGTTTAGTTATTAATTATTTAAATTAGAATATATATATATATATTTTTTTTTTTTTTTTTTTGTTTTTTTGATTTTACATTTATCTTGATAGCATTAAAATAGTACAAAGTATAATTTTAAATAAATTATTATCTATTAAAATAAGATAATCCTTTTATAAAAATAGTATTATTTAAAAAAATACATAACTTTTTATTTAATAGTTATAATACCATTTTCCTTATATTTTTATTAAACTATGTCAAAAAAAAAAAAGAATTCTAAAAAGAAGAATATTCAAAAATATATTAATCCTAAAATTGTGACAATCATTTTATTATGTTCGTGTTATTTTTTTTACAATGTATTCGGTATTGTATATATAATAATTGTTTTAATTACAACCATATTTTTAAATTTAGGTAATAATAATGATAATGGTATAAGTGCCTATTCTATATTTAATAAAGGAAAAAAGTATTTAATTGGTGATTTAAGAATGAATCAAATTGAAAAGGAATTTAGAAATAGCAAATTTAAAAATGATGATAGTGATGATAATTTTTTAAGATTTGATGATATTGACAAAAACAAGGTTTATATTAAAGGATCATCAAAATATAATAACAAATTATGTACTTGTGGTTCAAAGAAAAAATTTAAAAAATGCTGTGGTACTATAAAAAATAATTCATCTGATTTTTGAAAAATATAAAAAAAAATTGTAAATATTTTTTTTTTTAGTTTAATATAAAAATTTTAATAATATATTTTGTTTATATCTATATATCTTTAGCTAAATTCATGTTTAATATAAAATTATTTGTTTTCTTTGTCATATCATTCAATATTTATTACAACTATATTTTGTTTTTTGTTTTTTTTTTTTTTTTTTTTTTTTTTTTAAATTAAATAATATTTATTTTTATTTTTTT